CCTGGAGTTGGTTCTTCCCAAATTTCTCGGCTCTGAGTCCAGTCTGGGCCTGGCTGGGGGTAGGGGGCTGTGGGCGCGGGGCAGTTTGGGGACAAGAGATGCTGCAGGGTGACGCTGGCAGGAGGGAGTGTGGGGAGGGGGTGCCTGCATGCGCATTGAGCCTGGCTTTCCCAGCAGCACCAAATCAGATGGCCCCAGCAAATTTTGGGATGCCCTTTCCATTGCTGAACTCAGCTGCTGCCAGCACTGCCCGCTTGCTGCCCCCACCCTCAGTGCCATTGGCTTCAGCAGTGCCCGTGATGCGAGGGATGCAGGATCAGGGCATCGCAGAGACAGAGAGGCAGCAGTTTGCTCCTAGCCCAGAGTGTGATTTAGGCTCACTTTAGCTTGTGCGTGTGCCCACAACCTCCTTCTGCCATTCAAAGCATCCTCCTGCAAAGCCACCCGCTCCAGAGCCACACCGCTGCCCTTGCTGGGGCTCGCTGGTGGCTGAGCATCCTGGAGTAGACATGTGCAAGCCAGGGTGGACCACAGTCCCAAGGAACTGAGCAGCCCTTTTGCAGAGATCAGAGAGGAGAAATAAGGCATCAGTGGGCTTCTTCCCATAATAAGGCTATAGACTTGGAAGCTTTGTGGGCTGCATTCTAATTACCTTGCCAGATTGCACTTCGGCACTAGGGGCTGATGCTGGGCAAGAGGTGATGGTGGTGAGATGGGATAGTCCTGGCTGGCTTTTCAGTGCCATGGGGAAATCTTTGGTGCTTGGCAGAGCACAGCCCTTTTGAGGTGCAAACAGGTAGCCACCATCCCCATCGGGGCTTGCCCCAGGGTGGGGAGCTGGCTCTGGGGATAGCAGCTGCAGGACCGGGGAGAAGGATGTCCTGTCCCCATCCTCCCCCTTCCCTGGGGATGGATGGGCTTCGGGGCTCGGGTTCCCAGGGCGAAGGCAGGGAGGGAAGGTGACAGGTCTATTTATAGGCGGCCCATCGACCCAGCGATTTGCATAGCTCCTTCGGAAGTCGATCGATGCCTCCATTAAAAAACTGAGACCAAATCAATACGCCCTCTCGGCTCCTGCCAAGGGGAAAGGCCTTAAGAGGATAGGCGTA